ATTTGAAGGTGTCAGAAAATTATTCTTCTAATGATATTGTTAGAAATTGGGCGCCCATGTGGCATGACCCTTAGAACCTTTTGAACCTCATCCAAATGGGTTTTGAATTTAAATTCAAACCTATTTGGATGAGCCACTCAGGATATATATCTTTCATATCATGATATGGATAGATGATATAGATATCAGATATTATCTCATTTAACCAATGGATAAATGAGATAAATATAATATATATCTGATATATGGTTATGGGTAACCATGAGAGAAACAACGTATGTTTTGTTTCTACCCATGATACTGACTCTCTCCCAAAAAAATAACGATCAAAGTCATTTTGCACTGTGGTTTGTGTGGGTGATATTCACCACCTCAAAACTCCACAATTATAAGCATTGTTTCAGGTGCAACATTACTAAAGGCTCTCAAGAGGTCAATTCACTTGTCTTGGATCATGAGAACCCTTTTTTCTAATTTCAAGCTATATGTATTATGTACATTCCTTTATTGGCAAAACAAATAGATCAACCCAACTCATTCGTGAACAAGCAGAGATGACATTAACGTATGAGTTTAATGGGTAGTCATTTCCCCAAGAACTACTAACCCAATCAAAATAAGCAAATATGAAACCACTGAGCTAATAATTGAACATAAACTAAGATTCTATTAATGCCTAAAAAAAATTAAAAAAAAGCACCATCCAAACTAATTGTCCCATTTCTTGTATAAACCAGACGATGAATATCATAATCACAAGAAATAATATGTAAACACATGTGGATCGAATCACATTCCAATACCAAGTTTGGAATAACTTGTAATGGTATCACAAATTGTAAAGATCACGACCATTCATGTTCTGTTTTGATTTTATAACTAGATTTAGCAACATTCTCAATTGTTCCATAATGTATCCTTGCAAACAAAATTAGAAACAACTTTGGCCATTTCTATCTATTTAATATTTGTACGCCGTAACTTATGTAAAAAAAGCTTTACTTTTGGCAACTAATGCCGTTTTGGTCGCTGAAAGCTGAAAGCTATACTTTCAGCGACCAAATTTTTTTGGTCAGGAAATTTAGTCGCCGAATATGCTTTTCCTGTAGTGTGTATTGAGTTTAATTCATTTATTTTTAATCATTTACGGCATTTTAAAAATTTAGAAAATATATTGGCATTTTTTATTTTTTCAAAAATGTCATTATAAGCTTGGAAAGTTTTTGGCTTAGTGGCATTTCTCAAAATGCTATAAAATATTTGTTTATGACACTTTTCACCTAAGTGCCATAAAAAGTAATTTGTACATACCTAGTGTCCTGACATTTTTTAAAAAATGCCATTGCAAATATTCATAAAAAGTTTTTGTAGTGACATTTTTGTTGTAGTGACGTGACACTTTTTTTAATTGAAATGCCACTAGAGCCTTGTATGTTTGTGGCTCTATGATATTTTTCTAAAAAAGGCCACCAAATATTCTTTTTGTGACAGTTTTTAAGAACATGCCACTAGTATGGTGTCACTAAAATATGTTTTTGTTATAACGTTGTGACACTTGTTCATTGAAATGTCACTAGAGCCTTTTATGTTTGTCGTTTTGTGACATTTTTAAAAAACGTGCCACTAAATATCATTTTTGTGACATTTTCTAAAAATATGCCACTAGTGTAGTGCCACTAAAGTATGTTTTTGTTGTAGTTTTGTGACACTTGTTCATTGAAATGTCACTAGAACCTTTTATGTTTGTCGTTTTGTGGCATTTTTCAAAAATGTGCCACTAAATATCATTTTTTGTGGCATTTTCTAAAAATATGCCACTAGTGTAGTGCCACTAAAATATGTTTTTGTTGTAGTGCAACTAGATATTTGTTCAACCATTAACTTTAGAACTTGTTAATTAGTCGAGATGAACGCAAACTGGTATGATTACCTGATTAAAGAGCCTAAGTTATTTATAATTACGCATTCCAAGTTGTATTTGCTAATCAGCTTTTTGATGATGTGATTTTTGTATAATTAATCTCTAGATAAATTACACACCAGCGAATTTTTTTTTAAATAATTACTATTTCATGAAAAAATTTGTCGTTTTAATTATTAAAATTAATAAAAAATTTCGTTGATTTGAAATTATTTCCACAAACATCCACTGATTTATTATTTTCCCTCAATCTTTTCTATTTAATAATGCCGCCTCATTTACCAAAAAAACAAGAGTAGATATTGTAGCTCATATATTATAATTTGAGACCCACGTCATCCTTTTGAGGGGTATGATCTGATTACTTGACTTGTGGTTGTGGTGGTGGAGGAGGTGGAAAAACTTGCAAAGCCTCTTGTAGATAACAGGTTGGATTTCCATTAATAGAGAGTCAGCCAAACAGGCACCCCTATTATTTTTGAATTAAAAAAATTAGCTAAAAAGGTGACAAGGGTATGGGTGATTGGTGATGTCGAGAGAGAAAGGGTCTAGTAAGTGTTCATGTCACGCATCTCTCTCCATGTGTAATGCCCACCTAAAGTCTCTACTATTACCAACAAACCATCCCTAAAGCCATGCAACCAAAACAAATTAAATATATATATATATATATATGTAGCACACAAGCTGTAAAGCAAAACTTCTCCCTATATATGATTGCCAATTTTATAAATAATTTATATTAATTTTCCTATTCTGTTTCATTTCTTTATTAATTTTATTGTTGTTAATCATTTTATCACATCCCATCAAGAAACTAATCTTAAACTATATATATTATGAAGAAGTTTGAGAAACTTACATAAGCATTTACAGTAGAATTCTTCTTAATTGCCAATTCCAAATGTTAACTGATATTTTAATATTATAATGTGCTATAAATTATATTGTGTGCATATTCTCTAGGCTACCATTCTTTATCTCCAAGTCTTTGCCTTTAAGTCAAGTCTTTTTTTTTTCCCTCCAAGTTAATCCCTTTTCTTGGTGATCAAGTTTCCTCTCCTATACTTTTCCTCCAAGAATCCTCCAAGCAACTTGCCCACCAAGTGTTCTTTGCCTCCAAGAATCCTCCAAAAAACTTGTCCACCAAGTTTTCTTCTTTTATAAATTTAGCTAACCTCTTATCTTGGAACATAGAAGAAGTGTTTGTTGTTTTGTTATGTTTGTGTGAGATTATCAGGCAAATAAAAAGGGTGCATGTGATGAAATTTTGGGTTCAACCAATTATACAATATTGGTAAATCATACAACTTAGTCAGGCTGTTGTATCCTGGGGAATAAGTCAAGGTTTTTTTGCTGCACCGGTGTCAAGCTATGTCTAACCGCAAAGGGCTTGAATCTCCTTAAAGACCGAATTTCCTACATCTCAGCCTTTTCAATAATTATTGTAATTTTTATTTTTTATATTTTTTATATTTTTTATATTTTATTTACAATTATCACCAACACCAAATAATACTAATAAAGTAAGTATAATATAGTTTAAATAAACTTGTAAGTAGTGATGAGGATGGATTTGAAGTTTGTACAATAACATTTTAATTGATCCTATTACATCGCAGTATATAAGAAAGGTTGGTTTGGAACATAAAAAAGATGCAGAGAGGGCAGACACTTTTGATCAATTAATTATATATACCAGTATCTAATTTAACAATACTATATATTTATAAATATATTTATAAATTATAATTACTTTAATTTTATATTTATATCACACATCTCATGTCATAATTAAAATTGAGGACAGTTTTTCATCATCCATAGCATTTCTAGTATCCAATCTCCTGCTGCTTACCAGACAAGCCCACGTGTATAGGACCACTTAATGCCCTCTTCTTGCCTTACAGTTCCTTTCTTTAATATCCATGCCCAAAAAAAGGTCTGCTGCATCTCCCATTTATTTTATAGGTAATTATTCATAAGTTACATTGGATGGTATGATATTATTTATATAACATTTTAAATTAATTATGTAATGAATAATTTATGAGTGAGATAAGCTAATTTGTACTTGATTTTGTTAAGTAATTAAGAGACAGAGAATGACTTGTGTTTCTTTATTAATTAAAAATATCACGTAAACAACAATACATGATATATCAAGCTATCTAATAACTTTTCAACATGTTACTTAAATTTTATATTTTTCGATTTTTTACGAAAAGATGTGCAGAAAAATAGAGAGATGATGTGACTTAAAAAAAATAAAAAGATAAAAAGTGTAGTTATATAGCAAATTCCAAAATTTTAAATGTAATAAGTCCTATATTTATGTATGATGTTTATTGTAATGATAGATGTAAGAGATAATATAAATATGTTGGCATTTTGCTTTAAGAAAATCCCTCCAAAATAAGTTATTTATTATTTTTTCCTTTAAAGGAATGTTATATATAAATGAATTTTGCACCAGATTTTTTGTTTGTTTGTTTGTTGAGAACACCAGATTTTCTTAAGATAGTGAAGTTGAGGTTAATAAATAAAGTGGAACCTATGTCTTTTACTTAGTAATAAGAAAATAAAATAAAATAAAAATTCATTTATATATAATGTTTTCCTTTATTTTATTCTATCACCCTTTTATTGTGCGCAAGCAGCTAGAGGAGCCTATAAAAAACGTAAAAATACTGGGAGAGGGGAGAGACCTCAGAGGAGGAAAGGGCCTTTTAAATATATATGATATGGAGTATGATTGAGATTCCATCTCCACCTCACAAATTTAGATCATTCATGATATGAATTCCATACATATATAAGTGGACTCTATACATACATAGAGGGCCAAGATCCCTTTGAAAATGTGGGTCATCCCAAAGGATCCCAAACATTTTCCTATGATATGAGAGTCTGCCTCCATTATCAGTTGCAGTACTACTACTGTAGTAGCTTCTTTTCATATTCGTCTTCTTCTTCTCTCTCTCTCTCTAGTCTGTGCTTTTTTTTTTTTTTTTTTATGGTGAAAGAAGAAATCTCTTCTCTTTTTTTTTTTTTTTTTTTTGTCCTTTCAAGGCTTGCCTGTAATCAGTCTTCACTGTATGAAAGAGAGATTACAGCTCTAGTATTGCACTGCTGATTCATCTCTCTCTCTCTCTCTCTCTCTCAGCATGCAAAATGAATAAACTAGTCCATGAGATGTCTTAGAGCTACCAAAAGGACCTTCATTCGTTTCATATACAAAGATAAAGATCGGGTTCAAAAGTTGCCTGAACTGGTAGTATTGTATAATTTAGCAAAGGATGTTGCTAAGCTGTGATCCAACTGACAATGAAGCTGGTATGAAGCGCTTGGAGGACCTGACCACAAATGCCAGTCAAATACAACAACAGGTATTGGATCAAATACTAACCCAAAATGCACAAACCGAGTATTTGGGCGGCTTTCTCAATAGCCAAGCTGATAAGGAACATTTCAAGAAGAAAGTTCCCATTGTCAATTACGAAGATATCAAGCCATACATCCAGCGAATTGCCAATGGAGAGCCCTCACAGATCATATCGGCTCAACCCATCACTGAGCTCCTCACTAGGTACCTATAAAATATAAAGAATTTTCTCTCTTTCAAAGAAGAAAATTAATACTGTCCGCTTTTTTCACTGCTATATATATTTTTTCCTTGATAATTTTAATATTGAAAGTTGAAGTTCATTGATTATCGGTTTTCATGCAGCTCAGGAACTTCAGCAGGGCAGCCAAAAATGATGCCTTCAACTACTGAAGAGTTGGACAGAAAGACCTTCTTTTATAACATCCTTGTACCTGTGATGAATAAGTGAGAATAACCTTCTATATATATATATATATATGTACCATTTTTGCCCCTCTATATTCCTTGGTGATATTGTAGTACAAATTCTTTTTATATGAATGAACGGCTACTACATGCAAAAGCAAGATTGCTAATTAAAACTGTTGAATGACTTATATATAGGTATGTGGATGGATTGGACAAAGGAAAAGGAATGTACCTTTTGTTCATCAAACCTGAAATAACAACTCCAGCCGGTCTGATGGCAAGGCCGGTCCTAACCAGCTACTACAAGAGTAGTAACTTCAGAAACCGGCGCTTCAACAAATTCAACATCTACACAAGCCCCGACCAAACCATATTGTGCTCCGACAACAAGCAGAGCATGTACTGCCAATTACTGTGCGGTCTAGTTCAGCGACACGAGGTTCTGAGAGTCGGTGCAATTTTTGCATCCGCATTCCTAAGAGCAATCAAATTCTTGGAGGATCACTGGAGAGAACTGTGTCATAACATAAGAAGAGGTCAGGTCAGCGATTGGATCACTGACCCGGGTTGTAGAAACGCAGTGTCGTTAGTCCTGGGCAAACCCAATTCAGAGTTAGCTTGTTCAATTGAAGCGGAGTGTAGTGGGAAGTCATGGGAAGGGATAATCAAGAAAATTTGGCCTAAAACCAAGTATATCGAAGTGATAGTTACAGGGTCGATGGCACAGTATATACCAACCCTGGAATTCTACAGCGGTGGGGGGATTCCATTGGTTTCAACAATGTATGCTTCTTCGGAATGTTATTTAGGGATCAATCTTGAACCATTGTGCAAGCCTTGTGATGTCTCTTACACTCTCCTCCCAAATATGGCCTACTTTGAGTTTCTTCCTATCTCTTTAATGGAGAAAAATCAGCCAGGAGTGAGTACCCTTCCCACTGATCATGAGCTCCAATATTATTCTTGCAATGGTGCTGTTTCAGCTGAGCTAAATTGCATAGAAAAGGAGGAGGATAAGAGGGTGGAAAGTGAAGCTGTTGGTCTTGTGGATGTGAAGCTTGGTCACCATTATGAACTAGTTGTTACAACTTTCACGGGTAAGTTTTCTCCTAAATCACAAACAGCAGTATAAGCCTCACAAAAATGACAGGCCAGTTGACCGGCCACGGCTTCGAGACGATTTCTTTTGAAACTTTTTTTTGTGATGTCTAACATTGCTGAATTACAAAAAAGTATTAATATACAAACAAAACATTTATACAGAATTTTCATACAGAATGATGTGTCTCAATATAGACCTTTCACTTCAGAACAAAACGCTTATAAAGACAACTTTTGTTTACAAAAATAACATTATTACATCATTCTTGTGGTGCTTTTTGTATGGGATTTGCATATGAATATAGTTTTCCACCTCAAATGGACACCTCACGTGGTCATCTTTTTTCAAGATTAATCACAAAAATTAGTGTAGCTCTTGATAAGTATTGAATGCTAATCACTTGAATGTGAATCCAACTTTGCAATCAAGGCTGAGCCCCTGTTGCAAGAAGGTTGGAGTTCAGGGGCTTGTCCTCCACCTTGAAGTTTGATATGTTAGTACTTGTGGACTTGTAACCTTAATTATATGTATATATAGTTGAAGGAGTTGGTCATCTCTATACTTGTTTGTAACAATCATAGTGAAAACGTAACATCTTAGACTTATGTTAATATGTTCTTATGCGATCATGTGTTTTACAATTCATATATATTTGTTCCTTTTTTTTGGTTTTTTTTGTGTGTGGTCTCATTGATCGTGGTAGAGGGTTCTGCAATGCAGTTCTAACTTGTAACTATTCATCATCTGTTGATCATGAGCAGGCCTATATAGATATAGAGTTGGAGACATTCTAATGGTGACTGGTTTCCACAACAATGCCCCTCAATTCCGGTTTGTGCAACGGCAAAATGTAGTTTTGAGCATCGATACAGACAAAACCAATGAAGAAGACCTCTTAAATGCAGTGGCACAAGCAAAGCTCATCATCGAACCACTGGGCTATCTTCTCACAGAGTACACAAGCTATGCTGACACATCCTCAGTGCCTGGTCATTATGTACTATTTTGGGAGCTCCTAAAAACGAGAACAAACAGCAATGATCCCCAAGAACTTGAAGATGATCTTGATCGAGCGATAATGGAGCAATGCTGCTCAACGGTGGAGGAATCACTGGACTATGTATATAGGAGGTGCAGAAAAAAGGATATTTCAATAGGGGCATTGGAGATTAGGGTGGTGAAGCATGGGACATTTGATACACTGATGGATTTTTGTGTTTCGAAAGGGTCCTCTGTGAATCAATACAAGACTCCGAGGTGCATCAAATCTGAGGAAGCCATTCAAATATTGGATTCAAGGGTGGTGGGAAGATTTTTCAGTAGAAAAGTTCCTTTCTGGGAGCCCTTTAGAATCCAAACTAGCTAATTAAATACTGAACCATTAGCCAGCAATGTGGGTATATGTTCCAGTCAGGAGGGTTGATTTTCTGCATTGAGATGCCTCCAGTCATTACTCGTTTGCATTTGACTTTGTAAAAGCACTTGGTTTATCACTTGCGTTTTTCTCATTCTTCTTCTTCTTCTTCTTCTTTCCTTCTTTGACACTTGTGTATGCTTGATTTGTACTGAAATTAGGCTACCCGAGGAGTGAGTTTTGTTATCTCCGTGACCATGTTTTCAAATTTACAACTTGTACCCTAATGCTTACACAGTAATGGGATTTTTTTTTTTTTTTTTTTTTTTTTTGTTTAAAAATAAATAAAAAATTCTAAAGCCAAATTAGATACCGGAGAGATAATTACAGGAGTAGGACGACATAATGTATTAAAACTTCTATTCAATGTAGAAGGATACAATACAACAGAGAGGGAAACAAATATTGGTGGGTGCCTTTTTACCTGGACATGTGCAATGGGGGAAGAGACTGGCAATGATGTTACACTTCAATTAAATTCAGATGGGTAAGGTGGCATTCTGCCTTGGAAAACTCATTTCGCTGTCAAATTGAAAAATCTAGGATCAGAGAGGGTGCGATACAATATGGATCCTCTATCCTCAAATTTTTTTGTTCTCATATTTCAAAATATTCACAATCATTAAATCATTAAAAATCTTCCTTACATGTGTCAATTCATTGTCAAATTGAGAAAAAAAAAAAACAAGAGTCAGGTTGGGTGCAATATAACTTGGGATTCTCAGTTTCTATATTTCTCTGTCTCCTTGTCATAAAACATTCACAATCACTTAATCATTGAAGATCATCCTAGCAAGAGTCATTTCACTTGCCAAATTGAAAAAGCTAGTATCAGGGCGTGGGTGGGATACTCAGAGATGAAGAATTGGAAAATAAAGCGCGGCATGCATGTTCATAGGGAAAAAATGATGCATAAGAGAAATGGGTAGCTGATGGAAGAATATAATTGGAAGGAAAACAAAAATGGTAGAAGCAAAAGAGAGAACATAAGAGTAAACCCAATAAACAATAGGAAGATCAAGCACCAAAATTTGGTGTTATAATCTTCTGTCAATATAATTGCTTCAAGATCTTTTTTGATGCATGTTCTACATCACGTTTTAACTTTGTTTTTTTTTAAACAAGACTAAAATCAACCACGGAAGACAGTTCTAACAATACATATCACATGGTGGGATCATCATAAAAGATACAATTTGACTTAAATTACTCTATTTATGTTTTATGTAGTTGGTGCTGTGAACTGTAGACTTATTTGTTTTTTGTTTTATTCTTACAAATTGGTTGGCTCCAAACGTAGAGGAGACCCTCAATTATAGTGATGAAGAGGCTTGAATGCAGCCACGAGGACTATAGGGTAGGAAATTGAGAGAGAGAGAGAGAGAGAGAGAGAGAGAGAGATAGATAGATAGAGATAGAGATAGAGATGAACATAGAAAGAGAAGGGGACAAAGGGAGCAATGCAGGGGAGACAATGGGAACTGTTTAATTATCCAGGGTGGGAGTGGAAGTTTTAATATATGGGTGGTAGGGCCCAATGGGCTTTTGTCTCAAGCATTTATGTGAAACATGTGGCCTTTAACCACCACCCAGTTGGGTCCTTTCCTCATCTACTCTTACTCACTAACTCCCCCCAGCAAATGTTTGGCTCCACTGCCACTTTCTCTTCTAGTCATATGATACAGGTACGCTATCTATTATATATTTTTACTCTCCAGTTATCTTCTTCCTCAAGCACTACACTAACTTCTCCATCAGAGGGTCCTTGAGAAGGACACCCACCAATGAATTCTCAAGGATTTGTTTGAATGTCTCACGAAGAAGAAACTCATTTCAGCAACTTTGAAGCCAGTCCATATCAATCTTATCCAAACCACAGGTCGTGTATTTACTCACATCATATATATATATATATATAGAGAGAGAGAGAGAGAGAGAGAGCATCATTCTTGATGATAAAAGAAACAAATTTTTTTCCTTTTTTTTTTCTTTTTGTTTTGTTTGTTTGTTTTTATTATTTTGAACGTGACATTTATGCAAACTTGTTTGAAAGACTACTTCATTTGGTTCATGACCCCTTATCCTTTTTATGTATGCTAGTATTATAATAATACTACATGCTCAAAATTTTATTTAAAATTATTAATATGTAATTTGGATTCATTCTATATATAAATCTCAAAACACACTAATTAAATCTTAATCACACGTCTCTATTTTGAATAAATTTATGAACAATTTTTTTAAATAAGTAGAATTTCCAGTAGTATTATTTCAACAATCCTGACAATAATGACATATGTAAAAAATGCCAAAAAGTGGAGTCAAACTTAGGGGGATTTGTTTTAGATTTACTTGGACTACACATGCATATGCACGGGTATTTTTGAGATCTCTCTCTTCTAATTAAGACATTATGAGAGTTTGTTGCACACTCTTCATTTAGAAATGATGAAAAGTAAAAGTAAAGGGTGTTTTAATGAAGGAAATTTTTTCGGTGTGTAATGTATATTATATATAATTCTATTATAAAATTTCATAAATTTTTACAAATTTACATAAGTAATCTCACAAAAATACGTAAGTTGAATATAAAATCGCATAAATCTTAAATTTTCACAAATTAATGTAAATTTTTGTTTAACTTACGTAATTTTATAATAACGTTACATACGGTATGCATTGCAAATTGGTGCATTTCCCTTCAATCAATGTCCAAAGTTGGGGGAAAAATGGGGAAGCCAACTTACAAGCAAGGTTGCGGTAACCTTACAAAAATATAAAAATATATATGTAATTCATTCTGATCGATATTAATGATGTTCTAATTATTATATTATTTTAATTATATTTTGCATATTATACTTCTATAATTAACAATAAGACCAGATAAATAACGACATACAAAATTATATAATAAATGTAATAAAACGATGATCGTAATAGAGGTGGGTGGGCATTTGGCAGCACTGGTTGGATAGGGAGGGTAGTGAAAAGGAAGAGGGATATTAAAGACCAAGCCACTCGTGTGCTGGGGGGACATGTGATGTGTTGCGTCGTGCTGAGGTGGTTTGGTTATTATTATTATTATTATGAGAGAGAAAAAGACAAAGGAAAGGCTCTAAAGTCCCGCTAAAAACTAAAAATTAAAAATTAAAAATTAAAAATATTCACATCTTAACTTTTAGATAATTAATTTTTTTTTTTAATAATTATTTATAGCTAATAAATTATAAATAAAAACTATCTTAAACAATTTCTGACACATACTCCTAAATTAAAAAGTAGAAGAAGCTATAACCACCTATTTTAAATTGTAACAAGCACTACAGAATCCCGGAGGAAAAGGTGTTGGTTGTGTGTCCCTTTTAAAAACCCTGCTTAATGCTAACCCCAAAACACACAACAAAATACATACAGTTCAGATTGTGACAGTTCTCTCTCTCTCTCTCTCTTTAAGGGATAACTTAAAGACAGCAGTACGGATAAGGTCAAGTCTGTGAGCCCTTTAAGAAGTAAGCAGTGAAAGTGAAAGCACTATAGACCAGGGTGGAGAGGGTGAGTATGGGGGTCCTTGATGCTGGCTACCATAATCAGTCCGCCACGCGTGTGCTTGCAGACATGAAGAAAACGACCTCGCTCACCTCCCCCAACCCTGAACTATACAAAATTTTACAATAAATAATTTATAACTTGTGTTTTAGAAACACAATTTATCAAATTATAGTTAGTATGTATGTCCAAAAGACAGACAGCGACTAAAATCTCCTACCTCTTCCCTTTTCTTTTCTTTTCTTTTATTTTCTTTTTGCAGCTAGCGCATTTACTCTAAATATACCAACCAGAAACAGCTTTCTTACCTCTGATTTATCCATCTTTTTTCTTTTTTCTTTTTTGAAACCTTTAATTTAATACATTTTCTTCAAAGCTGGGAATAAAATCATTATCCCAGGTAAAAGAAAATTTGGCCTTGTTGGGTATTAATACCTCCCCAACTATTAGTAGTAAATGAATTATGAGCGCATTAATTTTGGAGGGATGGAGTTCAGCAATAACCTCAACTACAGGCAGGGGAGGAAAAAGAAATTTTATTACCTAACTAGAGAGAGCCCCAATCATTTTTAAACATCTAGAATTTTTACATACACTAGCAGCACTTGGACAGGGTAGTGGCGGCCATCCTACTATAACCTGCTGCTCATTCAATACCCCATCTCATCCACTATGGATTTAGTAGTAGTATATGAAAAAATAAAAAGAAAATAACAAAAAACTAAACAAAGGATATAACTAAGGTTTACATTCAAAGTAGTGGCAACAATTAAAAAAAACTAGGAGTCTAGCCGCTCAGATTTCACAGGTGCACCTGATGATGAGGCACAACTTCCATTCTGAAGGCAGAGGCTGTTGGCCACCAAAGTGTCACTAACCAACCCAACATCAACTTCATCAAAATTCAGTGTGCCTCTGAGTTTCCGGTTACTGTCAACACAGATGATAATGATTATGAGACATCAGATCAGATAGGTTTTCTGCTTAGGACTGTGATTAGATTATGGATTTGAATAGGGATTTGAAAATAAAAAAGAAAAAAATAAGACAAATTTGAATGAAATATAAACTAATTTTTTTTTGCCATTTCCATTCTGAAGGCAGAGGCTGTTGGCCACCAAAGTGTCACTAACCAACCCAACATCAACTTCATCAAAATTCAGTGTGCCTCTGAGTTTCCGGTTACTGTCAACACAGATGATAATGATTATGAGACATCAGATCAGATAGGTTTTCTGCTTAGGACTGTGATTAGATTATGGATTTGAATAGGGATTTGAAAATGAAAAAGAAAAAAGTAAGACAATTTGAATGAAATATAAACTAATTTTTTTTTTGCCATTTCCTTTTTTCTTTTCTATATCCCTATCCAAATTCATGATCCAAACATAGTGTAAAAGAAATTGTTACACCTAAATATACATACATATATATATATATATATACCCGTTCAAACGGTTGTTGATGGCAGTCAGGTCTTTAGAAGGGCTTTGGTACGCGTGAGTGCTCTCTCCGACACAAGCATAGTAGCTTTTAGAGCCATTTGAAATTAAAGCATCCATCTGTATGCATAATTATCAAACATGAATAAATAACCATCTAACAGTGGACAAATGTTCCCAAAAGGCACAAAAATTGCTAATGGGTGTGTACACATTATTTTTCAAAAGATGAAATAGAACCACTCAAAAGCTGGCGTGGTTCCATGGTGATCAAAGGCTATTTTAAACACATTTAAGTTCAACATTAAATCAAGGCAGGGTATGGATTAGAAGGGCATGGCCCAGATTTGTGTATATATGCCCCTGAATCTTCAAATATCATTATGGGAGTGTGCCCATTTAATTAGCTTCAGTTGCATACTCTAATGCCTTTAATAATTTAGGCAGAGAGAGTTTGAGAGAAAACCACAAACAATTTGCCTTAGGATCCTGTCATCTACCACACATCCCAAACCACATCTTGTTGATTACCCAACAATGCCCTCACAAAAATGTATTCAAGATATACTTCCTGTGCCATGAATCATTTGCTTACGAGCGTCTTCTTAATAAAATTCCAAAATACAAATTGTTGTTGTGTCCCCAGGATTATCAATTAATAAAACATTTTCTTCTCCCCTCAGCATGGGTTAACAATATAATGTCATGAACTAAAATTATGGAAAGATGTTGCAAACATATTACAAAAACTTACAAGCAAAAGTAACTGAATTCTTTGAATATCTAAATGGAAAACCTTTATGTGGATCCTAGAATAGAAACCAAAATGATTTACAAAATTGTAAATACATACTGACAAGGAATCAATGAACATGTGACAAATTAACTAAATAGTTAAAGAGAGCAATGAATTTAAAGGATATGGGCAAATCAAGTACCAAATTAACCCCATGAAAGAAGAAATGATTTTAAAAAGTGATTATAAGACTAATATGTAAAAAGTCGTGATTGAAAGAATGGTTACAAATTTTGTTAAGCTTTTTGTGTCCAAGTTCAACGAAATCAAAGGTCAAAGGAAATAGAATGCAGAAGTTTGATTACATACGCATAAAATTCAAAAAATAAACAACTACCTTCGATGACCGCAACGGAGAAACATATACATTATGTATTGCAGATACTTTTTTTGGAGACATATCAGGAAGACTTGGAAATGGTGATATCTTAGGTGATCCAGGACATTGACCTACTTGTAAAAAAAAGATATCAATAAAACAAAATCAAATAAAAAAGCAACTAAAAAGGGGAAAAAAAAACAATAAACAGAGCATACCATCAGTGCCATTGATAGTTTCTGAATTTCGGTTTTTTTGAGCTGTTCCAACAGGGGCAAGCTCCACCAGTAGTGGCTTTACCGCAGGAATAAATATTTCATTGTAAAATGTAATTATATCAACATGCTCCTGCCCTGTTTTCTGTTTTCAGAATAATTTAAAGGATATGAATAACCAAGGGGAAAATAGAGTAAAAAGAGGACTAGGAGAAACTAGAATGACGAACACATACCCCATGACGGCGTGCTGATGACCAATCAACAAACACACTACGAAAAACTTGAGGTTTACACTGTGGTTGCTTTCTATAGTTGAAAATAATTTCTTTAAAAGTCAGGCTCAGTTGAGAAATCTGTGGCCAAAACATAAGAAATTAGGATTAAAAAGTGTGATTAATCAATAGCCTAAATACTCTCACATCTTTCTAGTGCAAACCTTTGCAACTCCATAGAAACAACAGAGGATAATCTGGTCAATATGACGATTAAAGAACAGGGTCGTCCTTTGACTGAGGATTTGTTGAAAAAGATGAAAAATAATCTCTCTGATCTCCTGGGATAGCTGTAGCCTTTCAACCATACCGTTGATTCTGAAAGCACCTAACTTTACAATCTAAGTTGCACAAGAAGTTGCACTATGTTAGTGCAGAATGGGGACAATAATAGAATGGCAATGGCCAATGTAAGGCAACAAACCATATTCTATGTCAGTGAAGGTGATATGATCAAAGAAAGTGAGACCATAATAGCAAAGCATGATTTGCAGAAGAGGCCATCTACCACACAAATACCTACTAAGATAATTGTAAAAGCAGCATGCAATAAAACAGATTCACATAAATTGAATATTGGCACATTGACTTTTAACTGAAACCTAAATCTCCCAAGTCAAGAGTCCAGACCTGGAAAATAGCTGTAAACAGTTTGATCTAGACATGTCAACATCATCAGCCATCGTTAGGAAATTTCTGGGGGAGATTGCTCAAATGACACAGTCAAATCAAATATCCCGACAAATGAGAAGCATCACCCAAACCCAATCCCTAAAACCCAAGAACGAAGAGGAGGTAATACCTTGCTAAAGAATACATTAATTGCAGTTTCTGCACATGTTTCCCCTCCAGCTCCAGGATTTGGTCTTGTCGGACTGCAAATGAATATCCAATTGCAGAATTCCTAGTTAGAGGAGAACGAGGGTAGTTCAATGGTATAAAAAAATTAGACTTGCTACTCCCTACCTCCTGGAGTTATTACAAACAGTACCTGGCAAAAGCGGACTGCAAAGCAGGTGGTGGTAGCTTTGATTTGGGGGTATTGAAGGTCAAAAGGCGATCCTTCACTGGCGATGTAAATGAATTCCTCTCAACCAACACACTTCTGTATTCAGTGCACAATCTTTTTGGTGACTGAATATCTCCATTCTGACCTGGTAAATATTAGTTTAACAGCCATCTTAGTCGAAGAAAAAAAACATAAAAAAGATAAAAGTTAATGATAGAGTTCGGGTTCTTCACATCTTATGACAAACATGTCCGTTGTCATAATTTTTATGCAATTAAGTGACGCATAAAGATTATAACAATTTTCAAAAGATGAAACAAGTTATTATTACCTAATAAAATTTCGTTCTTCTGTAAAGACGGAAGACATGGCAAGCTTCCACAAGTGATGTTCATATGCATGGCAATTGCATCCAAAGATGGCATTGGTTCTGCCAACAAACAAAGACGGTTTGTTTCTGCAGAAAGGGCTGGTCTTGCAACTGTCAAAGAATTGTACATTGAGGAGCCCTTTTCCCACACCATGCTCTCTAAAAGTCGCTCTTCCAGTGAGTTCAGATGTCGCTTCAATTCTCTGGGAAGAGATTCCTCATGTCTAATGAAACTCCCAATCATCTTACTAAGATCAAAAGCTGTAATCCCAGTTCTCTCCAACACAGCAGGAAATAACATCGTTGCTGTCTTATGTGTGGCAAGAACTAGTTCAGCTGAACAGGCAAGCATACATCTATGGAACCGCTCATTGGTCAATAATGAGGTCAAATTGTTTGCATGCAGGATCTGGGCCTCAGCTGTACACATTGCTTGCAAAACCCTATAATATAACTTGAGAGCTTCCAATCTTCGTTGTTCAGCCCATATGCTGTCCATCAGGCTTGTACATTGCAGGCCTCCCGTGATGCATTCCTCTCCCAGACCACTGCTTGGAAATATAGCCTCTAATATTATGTTAGCCCGACGGATCACATCAGTAGTCACATCGCTATCACACGATGAAAGGAACCGCTCCAGCTCTGGTGAGGGTTTTGGTGGAAGTGGAGAAATGATTGTTCGAAGCCACTTTGCAGTTGTCATTGCTGTGGTTACAGGAGTAGCTGCCATCTTTGAGTTGCTACCACAAGGAATAGCTTTTGCATGAGATGCAGACGGAGAGCAATAGGGAGCCAGTGGGCTAGTGATTGTCCTCGCTGGAGATGCTATTGAATCAATTTTCCTCTACATGAAGCACCAAAAAAAAAAAAAAATTAACTAAAAAATTTAAACAACTACATCTATATGAGTTAAAGAATGTGTATCTATCGCGGCACACCTTGGCTCCACTGATATTCATAGCACCTCCAGACAAGCTACCTGAACCAAGCAAGCTATCTTCCTCATTAACAAACACCCTCTCATCCAGTTCACCCTTGTTACGAGTTGCATCAGCATAATCCTTTTCTAGAATATTTAAACTGGAGGGCAGTGATGTGTCATCCAATAGATCTTCAAAATAAATCAAACCATCTGCACTAGGAAATACAAATTTTCACTTAAGGAAACATGAACCAAAAATATGATTGATTTAACTAGTAAAACATATCTGTATATAAAATATAAATATATATATATAGGGAGAGAGAGAGAGAGAGAGAGAGAGAGAACTTTCAACTTAACCTGTGGCAATATTCTCCAGATTTTCACTTCTGCATTCTGATGCAGAACGCCGATTTTTCTTCAAAATATCTTCTATTAAATCATTGGCCTTCTCCATTGTTTTCCTCAACTCATCTTCTGAGGTCTCATAAATGTTGCAAAGTGATGCAAGCAGGTCTACACCTTTGCTGCCTTTCATAACTGTAAATGAATCAGTAGATTACCTTCAGATAACTGCCACAAGAGAGAGAGAGAGAGAGAAAAAGAAAAGAGAGAAGGGGGGGGTGGGTTGATCCAAAGATTGAAGAAGATGTTTACCAAACTGTGGAGAATCATGAAGATTGAAATTTCTTACACGAACAGGAATGTGAATAATTAAGATAGCCTGTCAAAGATTTCATTCGTTAGCAGAGCATAATCTCTTTTGCATTACAGCTTAGTCTCATGAAAAGAAAAAGACAAGACTAACATGATAAAATGAAAGTCTATGTGACAATTCTTTCATGCATTTTGTGGGGATCTTTGATTATTTCCTCTTGTTATCATAACAATCTTTCTATTTTTTACATTAAAAATATATTATGCTTATTGAATACCAAAACAACCATAATAGAATCAATAACTATTTGAGTTGAATAATATAGGAAGGAATGTGACTGACCAAGATAGCAACCAAACCATTAGTGCAAGTCACAAGGTCCTTAAAACGGCTGAATGCGTGGGTACGAAGTGCTAGAAACAGCAACCATCCAAACCGATGGTAGTCTGACACATAACCTGAAGCAATGGCAGCAGTTGACTGCTCACCAACTTTTGCATCACTTGTCAAGAAAAATTCCCGGAATGCACGTTTGTAATACCTTGTATCATCATAAAACTCAAGACTATTAATGTAAAATTTTAAGCAATTAGAAAAATGAAGGGATTCTACTAAATGCAGATTTTGCTTTTCTGTTTTTGATGAACAACAACGCAGACGAAAGTGTGTCCACTTCAAGACTACATCCATGAACATTCCTCTTGTGGGGTGATACGTGATTCAATTCAACCCAACATACTGCTAAATGCTGCTCTAAAACGCAATACAACACATTTCGTTAGGTATGCAATGAAAACAACATGGAACAAGTCAATTTCTAAAGATCCATAACCTAAAATATTTCTGGAATCCATCTAAATGGACTCTTAAACAAATATTCCGTATTTTAATATAAGAGTTGTGGTTATACAATTGAACTAGAAAAGCTAAATGAACCAAAGGACAGACATTGGCACTAGAATGTCTAGTTCCTCTTGGATGTAATGAGGGGAAAAACTCATCCTTCAGTTTTTCACTTTTCGAACTTGTAAACAAAACTTAAAACCAACGTCCCTTTTTTTTTTTTTGGAATTAAAAATCAACTTTTTAAACCCAGAAATCCTACTTTAATTAGCCCAATCCCTCCATCGAAGAAATAATCTTAACCACCCAAACCATATAACAGGCACAATTACTGCTCTTGAGTTACAATCCATGAACTTTAAAAATCCTTATTCCATCCATCCATCCCTAAAACATGACCTTACCAAGCCATAATGTACTCTTAACTCTACAGATGGGGCTTACCTTCTGGCCTTTAATTTAACACACACACACACACACAAAATACTGCTCTCCAGCATAGCAAGACAAGTTATGGGCATTCAGTAACCTGTCACTTTGAAAACATAGCCAATTCACCCTTATCAATACATATTTCCCATAACCTTTTTTCAATCTTTTAAATTCTTTAAAAGACAAGCTATTCACACCCTTAGTCCACATAAACCATTCATAGGCAGCATTAGTTTGAGTTTACTAGCTTTTTCTACATCAGTTTAGCATCAAAGCTCATACAAAAGACCATTTTCATACATTTGTCATAGATCACAAAGCCACCATTAACTTTTCACATGCATTTATTTCTTTGTTTTTTTTATTTCTTTTTGTCGTTTCTTCATTGCGAGACTAACAGGGGCAGCAGTGAAGAGATGCGATACAGTGACAAAGACAATAGATGAAAGTGTTAGGGGAAATGGTAGACTTAAATTGACGTGAGTTAATGTAGTAAATTGAGACATGAATCTTTTTAATTTGACTAACCAAATGGCCGTTGATAGAGTTGAGTGGAGAAGAAGGATTCATGTAGCCGATCCCACTTGATGGGACTTAAGGCTTGGTTTGGTTTGTCGTTTCTTCATTGCCAATCTGCCAACTTAGGTTGTGTTTGGTTCAACGATTTGGGTAGGGATTTGGAAAGGGAAAGGAAAAGGTGTTTGAAACGTAAGTGAAATGTAATCATATTTTGTTTGCATATTACCTACCTTTTCCCTTTCCTTCTCCAAATCCGTGAACCAAACACAGCATCAATGTTCTTCACTTTGGCTAAACTCATTTCTTCAAAAAGTTCCGTAACTGCCCAACATGCTATTGGAGTATAATTATCCTTGTAAGCTTCTTATAACATGGTCAGCATTATAATCAATAGCTTTTCCAATGAAAACCAACTTGCAAAGCATCTAATGTCAATCAGCCTTCCAACTTCGCACATGATTGTCCAAACAGGATACCACTCGACATAATTCTACTAAACAAACAGTGCGACTAGCAAATTGTAGGAGGACCAACAAGCACTGTGACTCCCACTAACACCACTTGGGCCACTAGATTTGGCAAACGTCACAAAAATGCCATGCCTCCTACCAAAAGAAAAAAATGACTTGGCATGGTTTTCATTAGCACAAGGCATCAGGTTGTAGGCTCATCCCATCATCCATATAATTCAGAACAATGAAAATGAAAAGCAATATGATGCACAATTTGCCACAAGTAAGGAAATTAGCTCATAGCAAATTATTGTACCTTGAAATAATTAGGCAATCATACATCAAGTCATTAAAACATTGTAGTGGAGTAGTAAAAAAAGTACTGACTTGCTTAAGAGGCTCAAATGCACAAAATTAGCCTGCAACTCCTTTGCCTGATTGTTGGGTGGGGGGGGACATAAACCAAGAATCATAACATGAGAAGAAGTTGAAAGAAAAAAGAACACACATTATCATAACCATCTAGAACCTCGAGCTTAACTCTTCTAGTATAAGTACCTCGAGTCTTTTCTCCCAATCTGTACCATATTGGTTACTTAAAATTGGACCCGCCTTGACAATAAACTGAGGCAGTTCTTTAAAGAAATCCACAATGCTGAAAAAGCATGGGGGGAAAAAGCTCAAGCAGAATTGCAGCAGAAAATTTACCAAAAGCTGATGATGAGGGGGGATTCAGAAAAAACGTACTTGAGCTTTGCAACTCTCAATATCTGGCATAACGTGAATCCATCTCCACCAGTCCCCTGACTGGAATCATCGGCATTGGCCTCACTTAATCTTTTCACAGAATACAAAACGAATGCAAACCAGTAGCGTTCTGCTTCTTCCGGCTGATGGAACAAAGCAGTTTAGGTATTAATTTACTACAGTTTCTGCGAAACAAGCTTACACATACAACTGACAGCAATAAAAAAAAAATTTTAAAAAAGAGGCAAAAAGCAATTTGGTATATTTAGGGTGGAGGGGATTCACCGTTCCAGTTCCAATAGCAGAAATAGTTGTAGACAGAAGGTGTTTGCTTTCACTAAACAGCTTCATGGCTTCTGTGTAAGTATTTTCATTCAATGACAATCCAGTCTGTGATCAGATCACAACGCCCAAATAAAAAACACAACATTCGTTACAGATGGGGAAATTTGAAAATCAACACACAAAAATCTTTATAAAGAAAAATTACTAGTAAATGAAAGTGAAAAGTAGAGGAAAGAAAATAGAGGAAGAAGAAGAAGAAGAAGAAGAAAGAACCTTGCAAAAATAAGCAAATCGAGCATCAAGGGAAGGTCCTCCTCGTCCGTGGTTGGAAAGAGAAGCATCTGCAGTAGGGATGGAAGGCTTCGGCGGATGGTCTTCCATGTCCAAAGCAGGTGGACTCATACACTGAAAACTAAATCCCTAAGCCAATAACCCCTTACTTGTTCGATGTAGACCTGGATTTATTCAACAAAAATGTAAAAAAGGATTTTTAGGGTTCAAGAATCAAGAGAGATCTCGGACGATGATTTGATTTCCCAGATCCACCAAACAAAACCCTAACTTTCCACAAGAAACCCACCCACAAATAACAAAAGGAAATCGGCTAAGCAGGATCGGAATCGGAGCGAGAGAGGGTTTGAACTTCACATACAACAATCTCCTCCTTATCTTTCTCTTAGTTTCTCTCTTCTGTATCCATTTCTTTTCTTTTCTATTCTTTTCTTTTGCGCCTTCTTTTTTTTTCTCTCTCTCACTTTGTAGTCTATATGATATACGATATGGGGGGAATCCCTATCCCTCCCTGTCGTCGCGCGGGAAAACACCAACATAACATAACATGACATGAACCATGGCATGGGTATATAGCCATCATACATACATGCATTTTCCAATCCGAACTTGACACGTCAAGGGGGTTAGGTTTATTTACAGCCAAGTCTCTGCCGTTACGAGATTCTCTCTCTTTATTAAATAAAATAAAATAAAATCTAGCGTTGTGGTTACGGATCAGCCTTGGACTCGCGGGAAACTGAAACTAGGTAAGTCTAAGGCCAAATTCAAGCCCAAGCCCAACCCGCTCATCATATTATTAGGGCTTGCTTCGTTTTTTTTTTTTTTCAGTTACAAAGCTACCGACGGCCCAGAGTGGTGGAACTCCTTGTTCTTTTTTATGGGTTGAGGAACCTCACTAAGGCATCCTTACTAGATTATTTAAATTTTATTATTAAAAAATTCATTTTCTATTTTAAAAGCTACTTTTTCATCTGCTTGTCTTAACAAATTCTCTACTCTTTTTTTATTCTATTAACAAACTCTTTTTTTTTTCTATTCTATTAAAATATTTTTTTTTAAAAATAAATTTAAAAGAAATAAAAATTATAAATGTGTACTACAGTCTCCAAACAAAGAAAAGCAATATATATATATATATATATGAGGGAGCTACAGTACTGTAGCAAATAGTAGTTTAGGGTATGGTATGAGGGAGCTAATAGGGTGATATAAGGGAGTTCTAATCCCCTAAAATAGGTAAGGGAATGATTTAAGGAGAGATGAGGATGCTCTTACACTATGATTGTTTGAATTGTACGGTTCGATACGGTTTTTGATTTTTGCTTTGGACGATACCAATCACACGTTCTAATTGAAAAATTAAAAGAATTTTTCGATTCAAACTCTAAATCTTGTAGATCTCTCAAAATTGTTGATACATCTTATTCTAAATCATTCATAATTTATTTTTCTCTCAGATGTTTGAAATAAAGTTGTTTGACATCTTTTAATCCAAAAATAAGAAATAAAAGATAAGTACGTAAAACTAATAGACCAATTAAAGATCAAGCTAGGGCAGAGAATCGAAGAAACGAGCGGAACTAACCTGTCATTGAAAAAATCAAGCAACAGTTTTGCTTCTTAATATCCAAAATCTGAAGGTATGTAAAGAAATCAAGTTAGGAATTGTCTTCTTCTCATTGTTGATAATCTCTCACAGCTCATCTTCTCTCATTCATTTTTTTCGATGAAACTCTGTAAAAAAAGTTATTTGCAAATTCAGATAAAAATTTAAAACAAAATGAATTTGTATTTCAAATTAATAAAAAAATATTTTTGAAAATAGTGAAAAAAAATGTGTTATACATTTGAAGTGTATTTAAATTGAGTGGATCTAAGAACTGGAAGAAAAAAAAATTTATACTCTTTTGTGAATTTGTTAGTGTTTAGTGTTTTAAAAAAAAAATCATAAATTTTATAAGTTTTAAGTGTATTTAGATTGAGTAGATCTAAAAAATGATTTTTTTTTTTGTATATATTTTTTTTTTGTAAATTTGTTAATATTTAGTGATTTTTTAAAGATTTTTTCATAAATTTTATACATTTTAGTATATTTACATTGAGTGGATCTAATTTTTTTTTTTTTTGTATATTTGTTAGTATTTAGTGATTTTTTTATAAATTTTTTATGTTTTAAGTGTATTTAGTATTCGTTTGGGATGTGTGTTGGCTTTTTGACCTTTCGGTTATTTTAGCCTGGGGTTAAAAAGTCTCATTTGGATAGGCTTTTTTTGCTTTTGTGGGAGAAAAAATAAAATGATTATGAGTTATATGTGACATTTTATCCTATTTGGCTAAAATAACCTATTTTGTTTTATATGGCTAAATTAGCCCCAATGGGCATCCCAAACAAAGCCTTAGTTTCCCATCTTAAAAAATATATATTTAGATGAGTGAATTTAAAAATTAATTTTTTTTTGTGTGTACTTGTTAGTGTTTAGTGATTTTTTGTAAAAAAATTAATAAATCTTATACGTTTAAGTATATTAGATTAAGTGAATTTAAAAATTAAAAAAAGGTATATATTTTTTTGTATATTTGTTGGTGTTTAATACTTTTGTGAATTTCAAAATAATCAAGGATACTTTTTTATTTACTTATAAGATAGTAGTTAATATGTAAGTAATTAAATCATAATATAGACTAATGTCTCTCTAAAACTTTGATACCATGACCACTTGAACAATTGACAAGACTTGGACAATTGACAAGGTCTAAGGATACATCTTTACAGCAAGGATCCTCTAGAGTGAAATTTTTCTAAAATTTTCTAGAGTGTTATATTGTGTGGTTGAAATTTATTGACAAGTCACATCAGAAAAATTGATGTGACTTGTCAGTAAATCTCAACCACACAGTGTAACACTTTAGGAAACTTTAGAGAAAAATCACTCTAGAGGATCCTTGCTCACTTCTTTAACCTATCTTTAAAAAAAAAAAAAAAAAAACACAAAAAAAAAAAAAAAAAAAAACTTCTTTAACGTAAACTTTTTTGAAGAACATTTTTTAAAATGATTTTGTTTTCTTAGTTTAGAGCCTTCCTATCTAGAGAATCTCTCAATTTACCCCCATTTACAAATTTTAAATTTTGTTTCAATATCTATTTTTATGTTTAATTATATTTATTTATATAACTAGTGGAAATAGAATAATTTTATATCACACAGGACTTAACAGGTAATAAAAAATTTCTAAACATAATTTTTAATAAATGTGTCACGACCCGCTCCCTATACTCAAGAGTTAAGTATCGTGATGGCCAGTAACTGACATTACCTTCGGCCAATTCTTAAACAAATTACTAAACGCGAGCGGAAAAATATTTAAGTGAGGGTACTAAAATAATCATAATAATTTTTACTTTTATAACAAAAACTTATTGACCAAAAAGGCCGATATTTACATATAAATAATAGAATTATAAATGCTATAAAAGTACTTTGTGTGCCTATTCCACATCCCCGCTTCTAATAAGACTTTCCTAAAGCTATTTTTGAATTGCATCGTTTCCTGAAAATTGATAAATGACTATAAGTACATGACAGAGTGAGAAATATTATACTGGGAGCATAAGGGTCAGAAAATTACCATGGATAAGCTTTAGGCTCGTACGGACAATATTAATGGATTCATGACAATATAAAGGTAAGGATTCAAGAGGTAGCTCATACAGACAATAGTGCAGCACTTAACTATGCACAGAATAAAGGTCAATAGATTCATGACAAACAGAAAGCCATAAGGTGACCAATCAGAAGCCAATAGTTTATTTAAGCCCCTCAAGACGTGGGACTCCCGTGGTGGTACTTACAGAAAATAATTACTTATGAAATCATTGCCAAATAATTATTAAAATTTAAACAAACATATCCATAGGTTTCAATTTAAGCAAATAGATGTTTGAAAATAATCCACGTAATTGAAATATTAATATAATTTATAAAACACAAATTACGTAAAATAACTTATGGTAACTCAAAACATACGTAAAATATATTATGGTGACTCAAGACATAATATAACTCGCCTTAAAATTAATTCCAACTTTTCACCTTTGATTTACTGTGACCCACTAAATACTCTAAACTAAACTCAAAATTTTATTTATATAAAAAAAAACTAGAGAGAGAGAGAGAAAGAGAGAAACGTTGGGGAAAATTGTGAGAATCCTCAGATGATTACCATCTATATATATAGGCAAGACAGAAGGCATGCGGCGCAAGACGGCTTGGGGCCACGTATCATGGTCGCACAGAAAATATTATATTTCAGTGTATTTTGATTTAGAAAAAATATAGAAAAAAATGTAATAAAAATATCATAATACTTAGAAAATAATATTGAATAATAATATAAAGTTAAACTTATTTTTTTGAAATCATTTATAATTAAATAATACTAATATAAAAATTTAAGAGACAACTTAAATTTTCAGGTTGTTACAATCTTCTCTTCTTTTAAAAATTTCTTCTTTGAAATTTGTCATATGTGTAAGCTATATCCGCTGCGCGCTCTGATAAATATATTTGATGATTAATCTGATATCAAATATTACCTCAAAAAAACTTTACCAAAAATAACTCATTACTTATTTGTCAAAACTTTTTTGGGCCAAAATGAGAAACAATGGGTGATATTTAAAAACTTTTCATTGGTTTTGTTTTCGAAAATAAAAAAAAATAAAATGAGAACACAATTAAACAAGCGACTGGAAATGAAATGACAGAATCATATGCAAGAGTTGAAGGAATTTAAGATGAACTTCCGTTTCTTTTATCTGTGAACTTTCCATTGATGGGAAATAGTTTCAAAATCAGTATTTTTATAAATTTTGAAAGATTATAGATTTGAACTCACTTCTAAAAAGTCAAATGATTTTTTTTTTCAAATGTTATGGAACATACAATACGGAATTTGTTTTTATTTTTTGTAATTGTTTTTTTTTTTGTTGAAAAAAATGAGTTTTTGGTGACTTTAATTAAATATTAAAGTAGGCCCCAACCATCTATTGTGTTGGGTCCAAGTGGGTCTAGATACTTTGCAATGAGATTTTTTCACCACAAAAAAAAGAATGGCCAAAAACCATTGAGAATTGAATGAGAAATTGCCTCGCGAAGTTATTCATGAAAGAGGTAGTGGGATTAGTGTGTATAATATGTTTGTAACTCCGGCAATATTGCAAAAGTAAATGGTGCATTAGTGACCAGCCATAAAGGCAGGTTAATGGTGCATTAGTGACCAGCCGTAAAGGCTAGAGGCTCCTCCTCTCTCTACTATACATGTATAAATTGAGACCCTCCAGTCTAGTTTCAAGATAGAAATTTTTGCTTCCATTTTATTCGTCAGTTTGCTAGAAAATTCCTACAGCGTGAGAGTGCTGCCATGGGTTTTGTTCACTAAGCTAGACAGAGAGTGCTTTTGCCGTAGCTGGTTTTCGACCATCGTATCC